AAACCAATTAATAAAATATTTTTTTAAAATGATATAAAAAAAAGGGAAAAAAAGGGTTTTTAAATAATAATAGTAAAAAATGGACTTTTCATATACAGTTACGTGCGCGCGCGTGCGCAAATTAAACGGCGTACGTTAAGTCTCATTGACCAACGACTAATTTCGGTGCACTTTAGCGTCATCCACTTATATTCTTGTCGTCTTTTTTAACTCCCTCCACAATCAGAACCGCCATTTCTGTATCATTGGCTCTACTCTGTAAGCGCAAGCAATGACGAGCTCGAGTCCATTGCACGGGCGGCGTAATACCAGCTCCGGCGGTGAACAGCGGAATTCCAGCTCCAGAGGTGAGCGGCGGAATTCCAGCCCCGGGAATGAGAGGCGGAACTCCAGCTCCTGTGGTAGTCGTACGCCGGTTTATTTTCCCTACTCGCCCAGTCCGGATGTATCCACCGGTATGGAATCCCGCTCCCGACTTGATCCGGTGAAAGCTGCTGCACGGTCCGTCGCTGGAGCTTTTCTTACTTGCTTTGCTCCGCCGGAGAAGGAAACCTGGCCGGGTTTGGGTTATTGTGGCGAATCTCGTCATTCTTCAGGTAATACTTGATTTTAAGCGAGGGGAATGATTAGGCTTTGTGAGTGTGTCATTTTTCGACTGGATGATACTGTGTTAACTTCTGGATTCTCTTTTGAGTAACTGGTGATGAAGATTAATGAATGGGTTATTGCTCTCTTCTCGTTGCGTTTCGGATCGTGGATGATCGTCTGAAAATTTGGTGAAGATTTCATCGAATTGTTTGTTTTCTGCATTATCTCCCTGTTCTTTCAAATTGCAAAAACTTATTCTCCAAGACTCGTTTATTTGTTTCTAGTTGAAGATTATAGTGATCGTCTGAAAATTTGGTGAAGATTTCATCGTATTGTTTGTTTTCTGCATTTTATCACTGTTCTTGCAAATTGCAAAAACTTATTCTCCAAGACTCGTTTATTTGTTTCTAGTTGAAGATTATAGTGGATTTCTTAATCTTGCTAAACATTGATATTTTGAAACTTTCGAGCTCTTGATTCAATTGAACAGTAAATTACTCATTCCAATTCTGATTTTAGGATGAAATTGTGTGTTTATTCTCTGTAATTTTAGATGCTTCCATTCCTAATGGCAAAAGAAATCAAGGATCTAGGCGAGAAACGCAGTTCAGTTCAAATCTAGCTGCCCCTGATAGAGAGCCTGGATCTTTGAGTATCAGCATAGAAAAAATCCGCAAGGCCACGAAGAACTTCTCCACATCTTTAAAAATTGGGCAAGGGGGTTTTGGGGCTGTCTACAAGGGGAAACTTGATGGAGTGCCTGTGGCCATAAAACGTGCCAAGAAGGTTAAATTTGATTCTTAAGCATTTTATGAGTTAATGCTTTCAGACACAATAATCTACTCTTTGTTGTTAACTTGGATTCCATTTTGTTTTCATAATCTCTTCCTCTGCAGAGTATATATGATATTAGTTCGGGTTTGGAGTTTAAAAGCGAGATTCAAACGCTTGCACAAGTAGAACATTTAAGTCTGGTTAAGTTCTATGGATATCTAGAACATGACGATGAACGAATCGTCATCGTCGAGTATGTGCCCAATGGCACTTTAAGAGAGCACTTAGAGTGTGAGTTACATTTTCTTTTTCAGCTTTATCCTCTCTTTGAACCAGACTGTTTAGTCTTATCTAAATCAGGAAACTTGATGGCAGGCATCCATGGCACTACTCTTGACCTTGCTACAAGGCTCGACATTGCAACCGACGTGGCTCATGCAATAACATATCTTCATATGTATACAGGTATGGATTTGATTCGATGTTCTACTCATCTTAACTTCGTAGAACGCCTATAGTGAGTTTGTAATGACTTTTGGAGAATAGAAAGTGCGTATATAGTGTGTGAGATCCCACATCAGTTGGGGAAAAGAATCAAACATCGTTTATAAGGGTGTGGAAACCTCTCCCTAGCATACGCGTTTTAAAAACCTTGATAGAAAACCTGAAAGGAAAATCTCAAAGAGGACAATATCTACTGGCGGTGGGCTTGGGCTGTTAATTGGAGAAGTATTTCCAATCTTCATTTGATTTTGTTTAGATCATACATCTCCTAGTTCTTTGTTAGCCTGACTACGTTCTGCTTTGTGTAGACCGTCCTATCATACATAGAGACATAAAGTCTTCCAACATTCTCTTGACTGAGAATTATAGAGCCAAGGTTGCAGACTTTGGCTTTGCAAGACTTGCAGCTGATGGTGATGCGACCCATGTGTCCACTCAAGTCAAAGGAACTGCTGGTTACTTGGACCCAGAATATCTCAAAACTTACCAGTTGACCGAAAAGAGTGATACCTATTCATTTGGTGTTTTGTTGGTTGAATTAGTCACCGGCAGGCGCCCCATAGAACCCAAGCGAGTACTCGACCAGCGGATCACTCCTAAATGGGTGAGACTTTTTCTCTCGTCATTTCACTATTAGTATAAGATCATATGGTTAAGAATCATGAACCTCCACAATGGTATAACATTGTCCACTTTGAGCATAAACTCTCGTAGTTTTGCTTTTGGCTTCCCAAAATGTCTCATACCAATGGAAATGTATTCTAATCCTCAACCATCCTCCCCTCGAACAAAATACACTATAAAACCTCCTCTGACACCTATGGAGCTCTCGATTAACCTCCCCTTAATCAAGCTCAACTCCTTCTCTGGAGCTTTCGAACAAAGTACACCATTTGTTCGACCCTTGAGTCACTTTTGACTACACCTTCAAGACTCACAACTTTTTTGTTCGACACTTGAGGATTCTATTAACATTACTAAGTTAAGAGCATAGCTCTGATACCATGTTAAGAATCACATATCTCCCTTATGGTATGATATTATCCACTTTGAGCATAAGCTCTCGTGACTATTCTTTTGGTTCCCAAAAGGCCTCGTACGAATGGAAATGTATTCTAATCCTCAACACATATATCGTAAAGGTTAAGGATGTGAATATCTCTAGTGGTACATATTTTGTAGTTAGAATCTGAAAGTAAGTTAACGTAGACATGAATTCAATTAGGACAAGATCATACCATCATAAAAACATGGACTAACACGTTACTCACTGCTCCGAGTTGAAATCAATGCAGGCCATGAAGAAGTTTCACGAAGGAAAGGCCAATGAAATCTTGGACCCAAATCTAGAGCAAACAGCTGCAAATCATTTGGCAGTGGAAAAAATTCTGGAGTTGACCTTACAATGCTTGGCTCCCCGGCGGCAGAGTCGGCCAAGCATGAGGCGGTGTGCGGAGATACTGTGGAGCATACGCAAGGATCACCGAGATCTCTCAGCTCCAGATTTCCGTTCATTCTCTACGAGCTCACGAAGGAGTGCATCGGTAAGCGATAAATGAAACTCAAATCCAAGTAGAAAATAAGCTTTGAGTAGAAGAACAAGAACTTGAATTCTTGATACAAAAGCATGATGAATTGGAGTTCTTGATCTTCATTATAATAGGCTAGCAGTTTCTTAGATCATATGTTCTTCCTCTTTCATTGATGAAATTATACTTGTTTGTGTGCAAGCTGCATTGTTTAGGTTGATTTGGGCTGCTATTACTCTCTTTTGCTTCTAAATTTTTGTAGTTTAGTTACGTTCATAATGGTCTGGTTGGTTTATGTTCTAATGACATCCGCTAATATGATAGACGATAAATGAAAAGAGTATTCATACTTCTATAGTGCATGAATTTTTCCGAATTGGTATCCGTATAATGTATCTACTTGATCTAGTGGGCATGCTACAATAATGTTTCCTACTTTAAAGAATTATATCAATGATATAAACTATAGAATATAATTAATATAATGTCTATGTAACCCATTTATTATAAAGTTTAATAAATATTTTCACTCGAGTTTTAACCAAACGTATTGTTTGGGGTTCTTTTGAGAGTTGAACAAGATAACACGTTTGAATTTTTTAAAGCTTACCCTTTTTTATATTTTTAATTTTGATTTGTTGACATTGACTAGTTGCTGGTCTTCCAGCTGGAATATTTTTAGTATTAGTGATCTTTTTCTTTTATTTTTTATTTTTTTCTTTTGACAAAGAAAGTCGTTGTCAAACTTCAATGGAAAAAGGGTTAGGTAGGTCCATAAATTAGAAGAAATCACATAAATTTATGTTCTTTATGATTGTCCGATGAAATCATGTTTACATGAATCGTCTTAAAATGTATTATAGGAATACTAAGTAGTCATGAAACCTACCCTGACTAAGTATTGTAATATCTCTTACATAATTAAATTCAGAGTCGACCATACGGTTCAAATTATCTGTGAAATATGATTTTTAGTAAATTTTCCTATTTATTTTTGAAGATATCAGGACGGAATTTCCAATAGAAAATTTGTGGGGATGGACAAAATTTGTTCGAGTATTTATTATTCTTAACAAAAATAGTTATTTTAAAGAAATAATTTTCATTTTTTAATATATACTTTATTAATTCACTAATCATTTCACTAAAATTTTAAAATCTAAAAAAACAACCTTAAAAAAATAGTAATTTGTTTTATTGGGAGGCTAAAGAATATAATCAGTGTCCCGATTTCGTTTATGTAACAGAGAGAAATCTCTCTCCACTCTCCCTTCTATTATCGATCTAAATGAAAAATTTTCGTTTAATTTGAGGCGGGTCTCCACTGAGCTCCGACCCAGGTTAAATGGACATTTCTAGTTATGAAATAATTATAATAACTTTTATTATATTTAAAATATGTATTTAATCATTTTAAATTAATTTAATATTTGAATTTATCGCCTCCCTTTCTTTCTTTGTTTTCCCAGCGCAACATAAATATAATAATATTCAAACCGATAAAACCGAATTCTTCCGGTTCGGTTCGGTTCGGTTAGAATTGGGTTTTGCTTAATGGTTCGGTTCAGAAGCTCATTTTTATTCTTCCCTTCGCGCCATTCTGCTGGCTTTGGCTTTTCCAGTTCTCCATTAACACCCAACGCATCCCTTCCTCTCTCTCATTTGCTCCAGTTTTCTCCTCTCCTCTTCCACATGTAAGTATTTCTTCAATTTTGATCTGGAATATTTCTTTTTCATTTCTGAGTTTGTTTTCCTGAATTCATTGTTCTTTCTCTTTTGTTGTTGCGATGGTTTTTCTTTTAATTTTCGACCCGCGAAGCTTGGGATTTGGGATTTAGGATTCTATACGAGAATCTAAAGCCGTTTTGAGCATATTATGAGTGTTTGAAGAAGCGGAATTAGCAATATATCAAATCTGTTCATCAGTGATTTTCTTTGTGTTTTATCTCAATCAAATTTCAGGGGTTCTGTTGCGCGCTAGCTAGAAGTAAATATGCCATTTCATATTGTTCCTTTAAGTTTGTCCCAAGTCTTACGAATTTTAACCAGTTTTTGTTCAGAAGGTTCAAAGAGAGATTGCTTATTTTTCTTATTTCTCTGTTGAGTATTTGATATTATATTTTGTTTGCCTCTGCCGAGTTTCTGAGGAAGTTAATACATGACATGAATAGGATGGTGATGAGTGTGGTCTTAGTTTTCCCTCCTGGCTCCTGGCTGTTACTGTTAGTATAGATCCAGACACTGGGCAGTGTGCCAGTGAGAACGTTAAGCCCTAAAGGGGCGGACACCGAGTGGTGTGCCAATGAGGATGCTGGGCCTCGAAGGGGTAGATTGTGAGATCCCACATTGGTTGGAGAGAGGAACAAAGTAATATTTATAAGGGTGTGGAAACCTTTCCGTAGCAAACGTGTTTTAAAAACCTTCGGGGAAAGCTGGATTACAAACTAACTCCTACCTATGACTTATCTTCCTCAAGCTTGATTTTCAACTAAAATTATAGTTGGTTAAGACATCCCCAGACAGAGTTTAGAACGAATTTGTTCTCTGAATTCAGGATAGATAGGTTCTAATCTCAATTAGATTCTGCAGCTATCTAAGCCAATAAATTGTGCTTATTTGAACATTGTCATATGTGAGTTGAGGTCAGAGAGCATTATATTTGATTAGGCGGGCTCTTTTCCTTATCTTGTTGCCTTCACCATTGAGAGACCTTGGACCTCGCTACTTTTTAGTTGCCTTAAACGTAACGGCCATTGCATAGTTTTAGACAGAAAAATTGGGGAACAAGACCTGCAAAATTCCCAATGATCGCTTTAAGTTTTTCATCCCAAGACATTGAAGTTTGACTTCTCATTGCATTTGAAATTATGAATGTGTAAATTCCATACAAGCATGAAGAACAGAGCAAGGCCCACGTAGAGAATTAATTTAATGCTTCAATTTATATTCCATTCTCTTTTGATTTTAAAACAATCCAGGCTCGAAGTCGGATGAACTTTTAGACGTCTTCCAAAGAAAAGAGATAACATTGGTTAGAAATCACGGATCTCCAACAATAGTATATGATATTGTCCACTTTGAGCATAAGCTCTTCTGGCTTTGCTTTGAACTTCTCCAAAATGCCTCATACTAATAAAGGTGTATTCCTTACTAATAAATCTATGATCATTCCCTAAATTAACTAACGTGTGACTCCCTCTCAACAATACTAAACAACATCATTCCCTAAATTAACTAACGTGTGACTCCCTCTCAACAATACTAAACAACATTTACTAATGGATGAAAGTTATCTTTATTAATATTTCAAGTCTAGCAAGTTTTATTCTATATTTTTTTATTTCGTTTTGTTTCCTGAGATTCTAGTTGTGGTGCAGGTGCATTCATGATATGAAAAAACATTTTGATGAGAGTGTTCTATCAAAATTGCCTAATAGTTATCAAGAAATTTTGAGGCAATCTATAACAATTGAAGAGGAGACGTGGGTACTCACAAACACCTCCAAAATAATTTCTTTTATTTTTCCACAGAGCTTTTTTTTCTTTTTTTTTCTTTTTATTTTTTTATTTTTTTATTTTTTTTATAATTTAATTGTAATGTTCACATTCATGTTATATCTCAATTTGAATCTGCAGACGGTAATGCATGTGACCATGGTCCAATTCCTTTGGTAATATTGATCTATTAGATCCTGGCTCGTTACAGAGCACTGATGATCTTCTTTAACCAAATAGTTCATTTGTAACATATTTTAGAACCATCCAGTAGAATGTAACCTTCTTTCTTTTTTATCATTTGACTCCCTTTATAATTTCCATTTTTTTGCTCTTATTTATAAGAATATACCCTATGAGTTATCAAATTCTACAGAGAGGAGCCTTTTGATATGGAGGCCAATGTATTACACATTATTCGCTACAAGCCCATAAAACCACTTGTAGAGAGCGGGAGTGTCATCGATTTGCTGTAGACAATCTCGACGGTCCTTGGCAGCTATCAACATCGGTACCTCTCATCATCTTTATTATCTTGCGTCTTGTCTTGGCTAATCTGTATGTGATAGAAGGCATTGTTCAAATTAGTTTTTAGCTTCACGGCTTACTGTTGATGACTGTTCCATGAAGCAAATAATGTTAGAAGTAGTTGCAAGGTTTGAACCCACCCTAGATGGCTTTTTCAAGGTAACCAAATATGATGTTTCATTTCTAGTAGATGACCCATAATGAACTGTGGTACCAGTGCAACCAACTGCTAAACTAGTTATGTCATCTGTTTTGGTATATTTTTATTTGATAACAGATATTTCCAAAAGTTTTTTTTATTTATTTTTTTTGTCCGCTTTAGCCCGTTATGTATAGTCGTCAACCTCACGGTTTTTAAAACGTATTTACTATGGAGAGGGTCTAGCCCTACTCCGACTAGTACCTCGCACCATCCCGTGACTAACTCTAATACCATTTGTAATAGTCCAAGCCCACATTGCTAGCAAATATTGTTTTATTTGAGTCTTCCCTTCCGGCTTCCTCTCAAAGTTTAAAATGCATATACTAGTGTCTAGTAAGAGATTTTCACACACTTATAAGGAATGTTTCGTCCCCCTCCAACTCACGTGGGTTTAAATTTTTAGTTAAATACTTTCACTTGGAAGATTTTCTAAGAGTTAAATAGATAAAACTAAAAGCTTGTTTAGTCGCCCTTTATTATTATTCCCTCCTAATTTTATTGTAATTTCATTTTAAAGGTGATGGAGACTATTCCACTGATTACTTTGGAGGACAATTTCAAATTGGTTGAGCTCATAGATGAATGGTGGAGCATTGAAGGCACTGGCAAAGACAGGTCAGCCATTTCAATCTGATATCTCATGTTATTAAATTATGAATGTGACATTATAGTGTAGATTGTCAACGACAATTGACAAAACCAACCGTAGCCATTAGTTTATACATCATATGCTTTAGATTTATTCTAAGTTTGAAATTGATATAAAGACTAAATTAATAAAAATATTTTTAAAGTTTGTATCGTGTCTAAAAAATAACCTTAAACTATCAAAAGTTTCAAAAATATTGTCACGGTTAATTTTGGATGGAAACTGTTAATATTTTGTTTAAAGATACTTTCGAATTTTTGGAAAGGTTTCATAAAATATCTTTTAATTTTCAGAGTATTTCAAAAATACCTTTTCAAAAGCTTCGTTAATAACCTTAACTTTTTTAAAAAAAATTTAAAACACCTTTCGATTATTTTAAAACTTCAAAAACACCTTAAACTTTTTTAAAAAGTTCAAAAATACTATTTTCATTAGTACCCTATTAAAAAATACTCATGAATTTTTAAAGTTCTACCGTTTCTATCCATATATGAACGGTAAGAATTTTTTTGAATTTTTTTTTTATATAGTTGAAGGGTGTTAATGCTATTTTTAAATTTCATAAGTATTTATTGAACAAATTATTAACAGTAAGTATATTTTTAAATTTTTAAAAAAATTGAAAAGTTGTGTAGTAAGGAACTTTTAAAAATTATTAACCGTAATAGTTTCTATCCAAAACTAACCATAATGATATTTTTTAGACTAATTAAAAAATTTAAGAATATTATTGAAAGTTTACTTAGGAGACAAAGTTCAAATTTTAACGCTATTTTTATTAATTTAACCCGTATTCTTTATTTTCACATCTGTACGGAAAAAAAGAAAGAACTTCTCATTAGTTTTTCAAACCGGGCAATAAAGCTAGGTTACTTGAGAATCAAAAGAAGTTTTATGATTCTCTTTAAAAGGAGTGAGATTAGGAATCCTTCATTGTTTAAACAAAGTTAGAAGACAATTGTTACTTTTTCTTTGTGCTTTTTAGGCATCCATATCCATTTTGAAGATCAAGAATCTCACCATGATTTACTTTTTTGTGTGTTTTTAGTAGAGAGAGAGATAAACTCTGTGGGAGAGCCATGATTTGTCTGACTTTGTCTTTACCTACTCCAACCTTGTTAGAGAGAGTAATGGATCAACACCTTCCTTCATTACCCCACTTGCACTACTTTGACATCAATCCAATTCTACTTTCTTTTTTTTTTTGGTATAAATGATATTGTTTGGTTTGACTGGTTACGTATTATCGACAGTTTCATAGTTTTAAAATGTGTCTATTAGAGAGAGGTTTTCACACTTTTACAAGGAAGGTTTTGTTCCCCTTCCCAACTGATATGGGATCTCACAGTTTACCCCTTGAGAGTCCAACATCCTCGTTGACACACCGTTCAGTGTTTGGCTCTGATATCATCTGTAACCGTTTAAGCCCACCACTAGCAAATATTGTCCGTTTTGACCTATTATGTATCGTTGTCAGCCTCACAGTTTAAAATGTGTCTTTTAGGGAGATGTTTCACACTCTTATAAGGAATACTTCGTTTCTCTATCTAACCGATGTGGAATCTCGGACAAACTAGTTCTATTTTGATGGTAAATTGATAATATTTAGGTTAACTTCGAGATTTATTAAATCCAAAATTAAAAGATCACCTCTGGCTTGATGGACGTTTTGGTTTTTTGTTTTTAATTTTGAAAGTACTTTTTAAAACTTTTATTTTAGTTTCTAAAATTTAACGAAATAAAAAAATATAATAAATTAGGTATAATTTTTTTAAATTAATGCTATTTTGGTAAATTTTTGTTGGGCCAATGGTGTGATTAGTTGTACTATATATGACGTGGAAATTCCATAAATTAGTTGTCATCCATTTCAACGGGAGAAAATCTTAAATCAATATTTTATTTGTTTTTATCATATAAAATCTATTAATTGGAGCCCTAGTTGTGAGAAATTAATTTGAGAAATATTAGAGACAAGATCCACAAACATCGGAGAAATGAAGTGGAAACTTCATGCCTTCGCACCCAATGCTTTGCCCTTCAAAACTACCATAAAAGGCAAAATATTGGTTTGCAAATCCAATATAGACTCACACTATATTAGGGTTTACAACCATATTAGACCCTTTTTTTTTTTTTTTTTTACTTTAATTTTGTATTTTAAAAAATTATTTTGTAAGAAGATATCGTAAACACGAAGATTCGAACCTTTCACTTGCACTAATCAAATTGAAATGAGAATAGAAGAAGGAAAGTGAGGAGAGAGAAGATGTAACGGTCAAAATCCACCGCTAATAGATATTGTCCGTTTTTGCTCGTTATGTATCATCGTTAGTCTCGCGGTTTTAAAATGGGTCTGAAAGGTTTTCATACCCTTATAAGGAATGTTTCGTTCCTCTCTCCAATCGATGTGAGATCTCACAATTCACCCCTTTTGGGACAAGTGTCCTCGTTGACATACCGTTTAGTATTTGGCTCTAATACCATTTGTAACAACCTAAACCCACAGTTAACCGATGTTATTCACTTTGGCCCGTTACATAACATTATCAGCCTCACAATTTTAAAATGTGTCGGCTACAAAGATGTTTCTACACCTTATAAGTAATGCTTTGTTCCCTCTCTCCAACCAATGTGGGATCTCCGAGAAAAAAACTGGGACGAAAACAAAGATTAGCAAATGAGAAAACGAAACTCAGCGTGAACGACATGAACCCCACGAGTTTGCCACTGTTGTAAGCAATGAAATTGTTTGAAAGGAGACGTGGAAGAATGAGCCAAACCGAACCTTATATTATTTTCTATATGTGATTTTGTGCAATAGGCGTATCAATATCATGCTTCTCATCTTATTCAAATCCTCAAATTTCAATTTTTAGGTCCATTTATTATATAATATATTAATTTAATTTCTCTTATTTGAATCTAGTTAGTTCAATCACTATTGACCAAAAAAATAAATAAATAAATAAATAAATAAAAATAATAATGATAATAATGATAATAACAAATAAATAATAAAATTAACATGATTAGTATTAGGATTAGAATTAGAATTAAAAATAACATAAACTAATTATTTTATCTTAATGATCCAAAAAAGTTGGATTAATATTTAAATGGAATTTCATTTTAAATATTGGAAATTCACATTTTATTTATTTATTTATTTTAATTTTTAGGAAATAAAATCTAATTTATCTACATAACCACTACCAATCGTCTGGTTAATAAAAAAGGCAACCTAACTATAGTCGCCGAAAAACTCAGAACAGCCGGGAAAATCCATGAGCGGCGGAATTGACTCCTCCGGCACGATTAGGGTTCTACAGAGAGGACAGCTTCTCTGATCGCGAATCATCCATCGGTCCAAGCATTTCTTGTGAAAAATGTGTTTGCAATTCTTCAGAAACCTAAGCTCCTCATCGTCCTGAAACTCGCAGAGGCAAACGGCGCAACATTCCGGCGGAAATCCGGCTCTGGTGGAGACGACAATGTCGGAGAATTTGACGACGGGGACGAATTCGTCGATGAGGAGCGGCGATACGGATCGATCGTGGAAGATGTAGGGAGGATTTTGGGGGCAAACGATGGTGGATTCGAGAAAATCGGAAAGCCCTAGAAATCGGAAGATTGAAATAATGAGGCTTCGAATATAGCCGAGGAAGAAAAGGAGATGGAGGAAGGCGTTGGGGATACAAACGTCGGAGTAGCCTACGGGGTAGCCCATGGCGGTCGGAGAGGTAGGAGTTTCCGTTTCCGTTTCCGATTCCGATTCCGATCGGCGGCGGTTCATCGATTAAGCAGAGATTTGTGTATTGAACAGAGAGAAGTGGAGATTTGGATTTAGAAGGGAACCGCGACGGGCGGCGGCGTCTGTGGCTGAAGGGAATGTCATGTGTTGTTAGGCGTTTGAGGGTTTTTATAGCCAGTCGCTTGCAATTACATATTTGGGCAATTTCCCAGAAATAAAGAGGGGGTTTTGTTTTTTCGAATAAATATTATAGGATTTATTTTTTCTATGTGAAATGACTATTTTAACCCTCTTTCAAATAAATAAAAACTTGTTGTGTTTCTTCGCGGAAATCATTCAGCTAAGCCAATAGTTTCGAATGGATGGATGGAAGTACGAGGATAAAATTGTAACTAAATAGTAACTCGTTTTTTGTTCGGTCTAAAATTTTAAGATCTAAATTTCACGGTTTTGAAGAGGTATTTCGTTTCTCTCATGTTTATGGGACGAGGATGCTTTTCTAGTTCCCTCCGTGTCCACAATTCCAATTTTCGTGCTCGTGAAACTTGTGGGGATCAAGTTCTTTACTTATTTTTGAAATCGTAAGAATTATCTACAATTTAATTTTTAATGTTCGACCAACCTTTTAAAAATTCAAATTTCAATATAATATAAATTTACTCTAACGGGTTTGATATAAAATATATAAATATATATATGTGTAAGTAGAGTGAGGCAGGGTAGGGTCGGAGGTGGGGTCCGAGATCGGGAATATAATCTTCGTCCTCGACCCAGATTAACCAACGGGGAGAAATCTCTCCTTGTTCTCTTCTCCATTTCTCATCTAAACGGAGATTTTTCACCTCATTTGAAGCGGGTTTTTGTTGGGCCCGATCCTACTGGTTAAATGAGTCTTTACAATTATGAAATATTGACTATATGAAAAGAGTTTGACTATAAGACGAGGAATATTGTTGGTAGACTTGGGGTCACATTATTGTACCAAAACTAGAGACAATTTTTCATCGTCCAATGTGCCACAAAAAAAATTTCAAAACCATGCTTTTTGCATGGAAAACAATCAATTACTCTTTCAATATATTACTCGACCTTTTATAAATATTTAATAATTATTAAATATTTGTTAGAATGTTGGAAGAACGGTTAATGTAACGCTTATGTTCAGGACTCGATATCTGATGGTCTCAACATTCATCTGCTGCGACATGATCACATTACTTACTCTTTGCTTATAAAGAGTAAAGACTGTCACTACAGACCAACACGAGTCCTTTTAGTATATTTTGTACTCACTCACATGTATCTAGAAAAATATTTAAGAAGTCACTCAATATATAAAACACGCTTAACTATGAAATTTCTAAATTCTAAGTATCTCAGTTCATTCATGTATCTCTCTTTTACTCGAGTGTCACAATTGACATGACAGAACATCATTATTTCAGACTTAATCATTATCATACTGTTTCAAATCATGTCAGGTCGACTTACAGTTAAATATTTCAACGAAATTATAATAAATACAAAATTAAATATTTAACGATTTATTAGATTAAAAAAAAATTATTAATAGAAGTTCAATCTTAGAAGCAATTTGGGAAAGAAAGAGTTGTTGCCATTTTGTCGTTTAATAAATGTTTTATTTATTTATTTATTTAATGGATTTTTCTCACGTGTAAAAAATGGCATTCCTTATTTTAGGCATTTTTTGGTCATGGCTGCTGGCCTTTAATGGGGCGGCTTCTTCGTAATTTTGTACAATTTTTTTTTTAATTTATTTTTTTTTTGCTCTGAATCATATTAAAAATGGACATTATTTGAATTTGTTTACTTTTTGTAAAATAATTATTTGCCATTTTTTTTTCATGAAAATTATTAATTTTTATTTATTTATCAAATTCGTCCCGTAGTTTGATAAAAACTGAATGCGAGGTTTACCACTATATCATTACACGAAAAAGAAGTTCGCTCAATTTGCAAAAGGGTCAGACTCGTAATATTCTTATGACTTAGCATTTTATCGTCCGATCATGTTGATGTTAACTGTGATTATATCAATAAGTAGCTCGGTCCATCTTTATTTCGCCAAAAAACTATGGATTTTTGGGTTTTCGCGCATTAGGTACTGGTTGAGCCACTAGAATGGAATGAGATAAGAATCTCGGGAGATCTTTTCTCTCCACTTACTCGTAACAGGTGTTTCCTCTGTAGAAAACTTTTTGTCAAATGTCATAATTGTTCAAATTGTACTCGATATTTGAAGAAAATTGACGACCGATTTGAGAAACTTAGTCGTGTTAGGTTTAGGGTCGTTCGTAACTAAAAAGTATATTAGATCATTTCAGTGTCTAAGTTTATCGATAGTTGAATTATAAATTAATGTCATATTTTTCGATTAAAAAAAAAAAAAAAAAAGGGAAAGAATGCAAATTAAAATTTTTTTTTTCCAAAATGAGTAAATAAATATATTTAAAAATAATAATTTGGTAAGAAATATTATCTTACTGGTTGCGGAAGGTGGCGGTGGCCGGAAGTTGAGGAAGGTGGTGGCCGGTAGTTGGACGGTGCTAAGGAATAATGCGGTGGAAATATTTAAAGAACGTGGCCCATGCAATGCACGTGGTCTAAAGTCGAGATTTGTCATAGGATTGCTGGATGGGCCCAACGGCCCATTTTGAGGCTGTGAACGGCCCATTTTGAGGAATATTGGATCAATAAGCCCAAGTGGTAAAGAGAGACCAAAGGAGCTAATGGGCCGTAAGAAGCCCAAATAGATTTCCTTAAAACCATTTCATGACATTGATTCATTTATTTAGAAAAAACGAACCAAAGGGCCATCTTCCATGATTTAATCATAAAAAAACATCTAATTTCAAATGTTTTACGTTTCTCGAGTTCCGTTGCCAACAGATAACCTATAGTGAATTTGTATCGGTCATCGTAGCTCGTTAGCTTAGCTAACGACAAGAATAAAAATGTCATCATTGTCCAAATCTAACTGATCGAAAATCCATAGTCTCAAAGTCTGAGAGACGATCCACAAAATTCTAATGACAATCTGTGTCATTTTGAATTTCTAAAAACAAATGCGTTTGTTGAATTATGCACCTGTAATATAGAACGTATGTCGTAAATGGTTTACTGTAGATACGTGTGAGTCCAATGCTCGAGAGAACCCAAATGGATGGATGTTCGGGATGTCTCAATGAAATAATCGACACTGGGTCAGTTCCCAACGAATATATATATATATATATATAATCACATATTTCCATTCATATTGATATTTATGGAAATTTGGACATTTATTATTTAAGAAGTAATTGTTGGAACTAATTCCATATTATATTTTTTTAATGGAATTATTAAATTATTTATTTTTATTTTATTTTAATTATAAAACCCGTGAGTGCCCGAAGTGGGTTCGGTCAGAAGAAGAAGAGAGAGAGAGAGATGAAAGAGAAAGGATTCACGAGATCAAACAAAACTCAAAAAGTTCCAATAAGGACAACACGTGGGACCCACCCACCATATCAAGTTAGGGGTGGAAATGTAAAATCGTACCCTCCACTTTTTTTATATATATAATTTAAATTATTATTTTCTGTGGCTGAAATTCCCCAACATTATTTTATTTTATTAAAATTCTCAAAATCTTGCATGGAAATTAGGGTTAATTTAATTTAATTTTAATCGTACTCCTTTTATTTAATTTAATTTAATTTCCTTTTTTTTTTCAATTCAATCCAGTAAAAAATGAATATTAAGGGTCAAAATTTGAACTCGTTTTGTTCAATTATATATTGCCGTCAGACTCACAGTTAAGTTTTACACATTCTTTGTAAATGTTCTGTTCTCCCCTCCAACCAATGTGAGATACAATCTACGCTCCGTGGAGGCCTAACACACGCATACAACTCAATGACTTGCTCTGATCATTTGTAAATAGTCTCAAGTCTATTACTAGCAGATATTGTCCGCTTTGGCGTGTTATGTATCGTCGTCAACCTCATGATTTTAAAACACGTTTGTTAGGGGAGGTTTTCATACCCTTATAAGAAGTGTTTCATTCTCCTCTCCGACAGATATGAAATCAATTTCGAAAATATTAAAAAATAAAAACAATGTATTTTAATAAAGTTGGTAATTATTTATAGAAATATTCTCAAATTAAAAAATTTATTCAAACAAATTCTTTATTTACAACAAAATCATTCTATAAAAATACCCACTCACTCCATCCTCTCTCACACTCACACCTTCCCCAAAAAGCTCAGTTTCTCTCTGAAATCATGCCAATGGAGGAACTCTGCAAAAACCCCATTAAAGCTCATGTAAGAAAAGCAAGAACCTTCTCCAATGGCTTCCTTCATCATCCTCTCTTCAAAAAAGCTTCCATTTTTAATGCCTTTTAGCTTCAAATCCACCGACCCATTTCCCATTTTTGCATTTTGAATAAATTCTTGCAAGCTTTTTTTAAATTTTTTATAATTTTTTTGGAGTTTTGAATAAATTCAAAATGCTGTTCTTGTTCTCACAGGCGGTGAAAATGACGTTTTTGGTAGTTGTTTTGGCGGCGGCGGCGGCGTTGATGGGAGAAGTTGAGGGAAGAAAGGTGAGGATTTTAGAGGACAATGGGATTGAATATGGTGCCATAAGTTGCAGAGCTCACACTGCTTCAATAACGGAGTTCGGCGGCGTTGGCGACGGCGAGACGTCGAATACGAAGGCGTTTCAGGCGGCGGTGGAGAGGTTGAGCCAGTACGCCGGGGACGGCGGCGCTCAGCTGTATGTGCCGGCGGGGAGGTGGCTCACCGGCAGCTTCAACCTTACTAGTCATTTCACTCTGTTTCTTCATCAGGATGCTGTTCTTCTCGCTTCTCAGGTAGAAATAAATAACCTTTTATTTTCCTCTAAATTTAAATAAATAAATAAATATATTATTTATTGGGGTTGAATTTAAAAAAAAATTAAAATAATAATAATAATAATTAAAAATTAAAAATTAAAAATTAAAAATAATAATAATAATTTATATATTAGTTCACGAGTGATGTGTTACTAGATCCAAATTTGTTAAAAATATTTATAATAGAGTTGCAGCATCCGTGNTACCTCAAATTACTTGTTTATCTTGTAAGTTCTTTACCTTCTATATTGCAATATGTTTTGGTTCCTATCACATACCTCATGTTGTGTGTAGTTTCAATATTATCCTTAAAGTTTCAAAAAAGTAAAAAAAAAAAAACGTTTGAACTTTCAATAGTGTTTTAAAAATACCTTTGAATTTTCAAATTTTCATTAATACCCTTAAACTTCTTCAGAAACTTAAAAAATACCTTCAAACTTTTAAAAAAAATTAGAAAATACTTTAACACTAGTATATGGACGGAACACACTATGTTTTAAAGATGCTCATGAACTTTCAAAAGTAGCATTCATACCCTTAAAAGTTTTAAGTGTATTAATGTTATTTTTTATGGTTCATGGGTATTTTTGAAACATGGTGTACTAATGGTTCCGTTCATATACAAACGGTAACTTATGGGTATTTTTTGAGTTTTTTAAAAAGTTGAAGGGTATTAATGAAACTTTTGAAAGTTTAAGGATATTTTTTAAACGTTCTTAAAGTTCAAAGACATATTTTAAATAAAGTATTAATGATTTCCATCGAAAATTAATGGTAGGGGTATTTTGTAATTTTTTTTAAAGTTTTAAGGGTATTTTGAGATTTTGTTAAGTTTACAAGTATTATTGAAACTTTTGAGAGTTAAATGATATTCATGCAAAAGTTCAAAGACATATTTTAAATAAAGTATTAATGATTTCCATCGAAAATTAACGGTAGGGGTATTTTGTAACTTTTTTGAAAGTTTTAACGGTAGGGGTATTTTGTAACTTTTTTGAAAGTTTTAAGGGTATTTTGAGATTTCGTTAAGTTTACGAGTATTATTGAAACTTTTGAGAGTTAAATGATATTCATGCAAAAGTTTGGGGGTATTTTTGTTAGTTTAGCCTTAATTAAATCTACCATTCTAATATTATAACAACAAATTTTCTATCATGAAGGTGATAATGGTAGCTTATGGTTCTGGGATTGGAAGAGTGGTCATAACTTTCAGCAATCGCAAACAATTGTACAGCCTGGTATTAATCTCTTCTTTGACCTTGCTTCCCTTCATTTTGTCATTTTATCGAAAACACGTTAAGTTGACGAATCCTCCATTTCAGGCTCGCTGGACAGTGAAGCCGGTATCTATGCTCTCTCGTACGACATAACTGGTTCGAGGCTTCTAACCTGTGAAGCAGACAAAACGATCAAAATGTGGAAGGAGGATGAAAACGCTACCCCAGAAACTCATCCCCTCAACTTTAAGCCACCGAAAGATATCCGACGATTCTAGAGCTCCATTCCCGACACGGTCAGTGTTCTTTCGGGTTACTCATATGCATCGAGAAGTTACGTAGGCTTAGAATTGTCTGGCCCCCAATCCATCCATACATGCTAGTCCTCATGACTAGAAATGACCTCTTAGCTTATCATTTTAATTTTTGTATATATAAACAATTAAAGTTGGTTCTGAATTATCTGAAAATTAGGTAATTTTCCTAAAGAACTTGTAATTTGCCTTGTTTCTCTACCTGCTACCTACAACGTTGGAATATTTAGAGAATGTTTTCTGATGAATAGTTGAACTATTATAGTCGTCATTGTCGTGTTACTTCTGAAAGTTTTTTTTTTTTTTTTTTTTTTTTTTTTTTTTTTTTTTTTTTTTTTTTTTTTTTTTTAATTTAAAAAAATAAAATTTTAAATAAGGATAAAAATGAGAGTAATTATAAGTGTGGAGAACAATGAGTTTCTATTGTTGATGCCTTTTGCTTCCACAATTCATAGGACTCTTGTTATGGGTCGGGTAGGTTAAAGGTTCAAATTCCTCCTCCCGTGAAATTCATTTTGTTCAAAAGGTTAGAGGTTCAAATTCTATCTTCATGTAAAATTCAGGTTCAAAAGGACAGAGGGTCAAATTCGTCATTCCCATAAAATTCAATTTGCTCAGGAGGTTAGAGGTTCAAATTCCTCCTTCCTATAGAATTCATTTTGTTCGAGAGGTTAGAGGTTCAATTCCTCCTTCCCGTAGAATTCACTTTGTTCAGGAGATTAGAGGTTCAAATTCCTCCCACCTGTAAAATTCACGTTGTTCGGGAAGTTAGAGGTTCAAATTCCTCCCTCCCATAAAATTCACTTTGTTCGAGAGATTAGAAGTTCAAATTTCTCATTCCCGTAAAATTCACTATGCTCGAGAGGTCATAGCTTCAAATGGGTTTGAATTCACAACCTCCAAATTTAATAATATATTAAATTACCATTAAGTTGAAGGTATGACTCTAGGAGAGATATTGAGTTTTTAGATGAAGGGCTGTTATGGTAGATGGGGTAAGTTTGATGTTGTCATTAAGGTAAAGACTTTAAGAAACTGAAGTGATTAGTCAAAAGTGGGGGTAACCAACTCTCTAAGCTCAAGGTTCATCCCCACGAGCACGAACAATTATCTAATTTTGATCGGTCGAATCGTCTCGACTCATCTATAGCTCGAGACTGATTTTCAACTACTTCAATAGGATCTGAACGAATGGCCGGTGGTCGAACCGTTGCCATCCTACGGTCATGGAAGGGACACATCAGGGGGAAGGTACATAAGTTTAATATTTGGAACAAATCTCACTGATGTTGTCATCACAGGTATGCGTACCTTCGCTAGAGTCTGTCTCGTCTTATTTTTCTTGATCGGTGTCTGAACGTTTGAGCTTCACCTAATGTACATCAGGAAACAATGGCACCATTGATGGTCAAGGCGATCGCTGGTGGCAGCTGTTTCATCAGAATAAGCTTAAGTACACCCGACCATACTTGATCGAGATCATGTATTCCAGCAACGTACAGATATCGAATCTGACCCTGCTGAATTCTCCAGCTTGGAATGTTCATCCTGTTTACAGCAGGTATAATCAATTAGTTATTCCATACAGAAATATGTACAGAAATCCAACACTACATGATTTGATTCACTTGCAAATGTTCTACAGTAATGTTCTTATTCAAGGGATCACGATTATCGCTCCTGTTCGATCCCCAAATACCGATGGCATCAACCCCGGTTCGTATCCCAAACCAAATTTCTCAAGACGTATACGTCTTTCAGTACCAATGACTCACTTTATTCTGCAGATTCCTGCACAAATGTTCGAATTGAGGATTGTTACATAATATCTGGAGACGATTGTGTAGCTGTCAAGAGCGGCTGGGACGAGTATGGCATAAGATTTGGATGGCCAACTAAGCAATTGGTAATCAGAAGGCTCACGTGCGTTTCCCCGACAAGTGCTGTCATTGCACTGGGGAGTGAGATGTCGGGTGGCATCGAAGATGTCCGAGCAGAAGACATAGTAGCCGTTGATTCTGAATCTGGGGTCAGGATCAAAACAGGCATTGGAAGGGGAGGATATGTAAAAGACATATATGTAAGGAGGATGACAATGCATACCATGAAATGGGCGTTTTGGATGACTGGCGATTACGGGTCACATGCCGATGAGAATTACGATCCCCACGCATTACCTGTAATTCAAGGAATCAACTACAGGGACATGGTCGTCGAAAACGCCACAATGGCAGCAAGATTGGAGGGAATTTCAGGTGACACATTTACAGGTATCTGCATTTCCAATGTGACAATCAGCTTGGCAGCAAAGGCCAAGAAACAGCCATGGACTTGCACTGATGTGGAGGGAATAACGAGCAATGTTACACCTCCACCGTGCAGTCTGTTACCCGATCAGGGGGCCGAGAAGATTACAACATGCAGATTTCCAGAGGATAATATACCAATTGATGCAGTGGAGTTGAAAAAATGCTCATATCAATTCAGTCATGCTTGAAGATTTCTTGCTGTGAACAACAAAAGCTATATTCAAGTCAGTATATGGTTACCGTAAGAATTAAAATCTATCTAAAAGCATTCAGTATGCTGTGTATTTTAGCTTTCTAGCACAGTTCAAATGAATATAGTAGAATGTACACCCCCATTAAATGCTATCATAATTGACATGTATCGAACTGGTTCTCCTTTCAGACCAACAAGTCGAGGAAGCTATTTTCCAAAAACTAAGAATAGTGAAAGTAAAAGAAAAACTTAAGGTACGAGAAGGATGCAACCAATAAGTACAATTCACAAACCTAGTGCCAATTTGTACCGTAAGATCCCACATCGGTTGGAGAGGAGAACGAAGCATTCCTTACGAGGGTGTGGAAACCTCTCCCTAGCAAACACGTTTTAAAACCTTTAAGGAAAGCCCGATGGAATGCCCAAAGAAGACAATATCAGATAACGGTGGGCTTGAGCTGTTACAAATAGTATCAGAGTCAGGCACCGAAAGGTGCGAGGCACTAGTCGGAATAGGGCTAGACCCTCTCCATAGTAAACACGTTTTAAAACCTTGAGGAGAATCCCGAAAGGGAAAGCCCAAAGAGGACAATACTTGCTAGCGGTGGGCTTGGGCTGTTACATGGTATCAGAGCTAGTCATCAAACGGTGTAAGGCACTGGTCAGAGTAGGATAGACTCTCTCCATAGTAGAGGCATTTTAAAAACCTTGAGGGAAAGCCCGAAAGGAAAAGTCCAAAGAGGACAATATCAACTAGCGGTGGGCTTGGGCTATTGCAGCCAAACACGCATATGATCACCGACAGGGTTGGCGTTCTAGATTTCTGCACTGCAGGAAAACCTTCTGATCGTTTTCCCTTCTGTCGCTACATCAGTTAACAAAGATCAAGAGACATGAGATCATAATCCAATAGCTGTAAAAATAGTATGTGATATGATCTTCACTACATTGTTCAGAAAGCAAGCTTTTACAGAGGTTAAATAGTCTCGTGTGCCAAAGAACTACAAGATGATTTGAGTAAGCTCCTATTTCAACTCCATACAGCCCATACAGCATAGTATCCACCATATCAAAAACAATTCAATACAGAAACACTTACAAAATACATAAATTTACTTATGGATTCATCATTTTAGCATATGATATTAACAAGGTAGAAACTGAGCAGAAAGAATTAGTAATGAAATGGGGTGAAGCCTTTTACTTAAAACCGATATACTTTTCCATTTCTTTCTCATTCCACAGAACAACATTACACGATCAAACCACGGTAACGGTACAATAACATAACGCATTACTGCACAAGCTATACTATGAAAAGCAAGCAAGATATTGTACATCAGCAAATTAAAAGATAAGAAAATAACCAGTTTAACCCTTTTATATAAAGGAACAAGCTCGAACTCCGTCACAGTTGCCTTGTACGCAGCTCCCCCGATCCCTGATCAAGTACCGTCTCACTTTCTCTAAGATTTGAAAGCAATGCATCTCGTCCAGATAAAACAACGTGAAAAAACTCATCCACTTGTTTAGTAAGATGATCAACACCTTGTGTAAGCTTTTCTGCCTCCCTCCCCAAATCTACAACCAGATTCTGGAATTCTTCTAATTTCATGCCGCCATCCACATTTCCTTGAATCATGGAATGCAATTTTTTAACACTCTCATCCACTGCATCACGCTCTCTCAATACAGTAGATCTTCCACTGGAATTTACATTTTTCTGTAATTCAGTAAAAGCTTGAGCCCATCTATATGTATCCGGAATATTGATGGATAACAAACTTACGGATGAACCCGTGAAAGCAGAAGCTAAAACACTGCAAATAAACAGAGTCACCACCTTCACTCCATACATTACATGTATCAAAACCTTGCCTTTAGCTGAGTTCTTCTGAACTTTCGGAAGATCAAGCGATTCCTTAAGACGGTCCAAAATAGGAGAATGGCTCTTAACTCTGGAGGTTCTGTTACTAATATGTTGATTCCATCCATCTAACGAGGAACGAGCATGAACAAACTGGTTCAAAGATGTAGACGCCAGATTGTGCAAAGCACACCGAAGTACCAGATGACCCTGATTCAACTGTGAGAGCTCAGAGCTAAAATCATTGCATATATCAAGTAATTTCAAACTGATGTCCAGGTACTCATCTAGCCATTTCTCATCCCAGTCAGACACAGGGAGCTCAAGCTCTTCTATAAGTGTTTTTACATCTTTGTGAGTTTCGCAAAGCAGCTTCACTGCTAATGCCATCCATGAGAAGCTAAGTATGTCATTCTCCGATTTTGGAGTCAGCTTTATCAGCCCCTCTGCCAAGGAATCCTCAAAAGTGGCTAGCAGAAAAACAAGTTTGGAAGACAATTTTGAACCCTTGGGTGTTCTTGCACGGAAAGGGTTCCCGAAAGGAAAGAATAGCCGGTGGGGCGGCTCTTGTGATCGGCTCATTGTATAACACTAACTGAAAGATATATAAAATCCATGGATGAGCTTCCATTTGGAAACAAATTCAAGATAACCATCATCATACCACAATCACATGGAATCATCAAGTAATAGAGTTTCAGATACAATTGGTGCAGGTGCACCAAGCCTTTAATGGAATTTCCAGGCATAGCATGATCAATTAAGCCAATCTAAGGCAGAAGTAAGAGCCTGATGAACCAACTGGATACAGCAACAACTAACATCACTAAACAGCCAAGAGGCCTGCTTGCAAACAACCCCAATAGCTAATTTTACCCATAGAACGTTAAATTTCTCGTCCTACAATATGAAAACGTCAAAAAAAAACGACACAAAAACCCAATCAAATTTTCGCTAGCAAAAAAGGGTTTTCCAAATCCTGAATTCAGCAACACAAATTTCATCAAAAGCTACACCTGATATTAACATACTGCACAACAAAAACAAATCATTTTCCTCGTAGAACACGCAGAACATTTAAAAACATTCTAATACCCAAAAACTTCCAGAAATCCATTTTTACACCCAAAAAAAAAAAAACCAAGTATTCTGCTTGAAATGGCAAAAGTTAGAGCGAATCCAAGAAACTACAAGTAAATTAATATATATAAATCCCAACTCGTAGATCTACGAACAATCAAAGCGTATGAAATCGCCAGCATGAAACCCTAGATTACACATCGAAACTTAGATCTAAACCAAACATAATAATTCAAAAAAAAAAAAAAAAAAAAA